TAGAATCCCTGGGCCCTGGAGGTTCTGGAGAACCCCTGTAGGTTCTGTATAATAATGTGTCCTGCCACCACCAGCTGACAGCAGGAGTTCTAACCCTAAAGTGTGTGTTTGGGCACCTGGTTCTGGTTCCGGTTCTGTTCCCTCTCAGAGCTGATTTGTACATCAGGAGAGAGACGAACTGTTGTTTGCTGTGAAGTCAGAACCAGAACCTCAGAAACCCCAGAAATAAATCCAGGGGGTCCAAAGTCCCTCAGAACTGGTCATCACGCTTTAGACTTTCTTAAATCTAGCCAAACCGGTTCTGTCCGGACTTTGACTGGGCCGCTCTGAAACATTTCTGCTTTGGACCCATCAGAGTTGGACGTGCATCGTGGCTTTAATCACTATAGTCCACTCAGTCGTTACGCCTGGATCTTCTACAGGTTCTGACAGTATAAGCGATGTTCTGGTTCCAAAACGGGAAGTTAAAGCTGGTAACGGTATCTAAAGAGACGAAGCATATTTCTGCAGTTGAGCAGTGGAGGTGTTTTAACTTACAAAGGTAGTGTTTGTCACGATTATGTCAGTCTCATTGGTGACGATGTTGAACTTGATGACGTGGCCGTCGCTGTTCCTGTAGATGACCTCAGAATCTGGAGAGAAGAAGAAGAAGAAGAAACTTTATCCAGCAGACACAACAAAACAGCCGCCAACGGCAGAGAGATTCAGGTCAGACTAAGAAACAGCTGAAGGGGAGGAAGAGACTGGTGTTTGATCCTGGAGGATAAGCTGAGAAAGAAATCCATCCATCCATCCATCCATCCATCCATCCATCCATCCATCCATCCCTCATCGAGCAAAAAGCCTTTTCAGAGATTGAACTTGGACTAAATGAACCGGATCAGGAGCGTTTTTCCGTTTCTTGTTGAAGATAAACGTCTGATTTTGGTTCTAGAAGGAACAGAAATGTCCCTAAAACCAAACAGGGATCCAACACTACATCCAGGAAGACCAGATGGAAGGAACCAGGAAATCCGGATCCCCTGACAGGCAGGAAGGATGAGGCCCATCAGAACCAGAACAATAAATCAAAGATGAATCTCCAAGCATGTTTTTAAAACAATGGGAATAAATGTTTTTAGCTGATTGGGTGAAATGGATCAGTGTCGGGTTTATGAAGCTCAATTAAAGCCATTTTCAGCGCCTGCAGCTCAGACACCAATTAGCCAAACTCAGAAGTTGGGAGGACGTCCAGACGGCTTAGAGATGGGACCTTAATGGTTTCAATCATCCCACTGAAAGGAAGCCAAGGTAGAAACAGGTCCAACGCCGCAGAGATCTCTGGCTGCCAGACTTCTTCATCAGATCCTCTGCTAATCCTTTCATGGTCGCTCTTTGGACTCCCACCTCTTTGGGAGATCATCTGTCAACTTGGAACTTTCTGGTTCATGAAAACTTTAATTAGCAAAATGTTTTCCTCTTTCTGCTTTTAGTTTCGCCAACCTTCTTCTGGACCCACCGCGGCGGTCCCAGTAGAACATCCTTTGGGTTCTACGGTGTGATTTCATGCCAGTCATCCAGGATTTGGTTTCAATCAGGTTTATATTTGGTCCTTTGATGTGCCATGTGCTTCTGGGCAAAGAAAGGCAGCGACTTGGCCGAAGTGGATCGACTGAAGCTTCTGGGAAAATGTTCCAACAAATCTGGACAAAGGACACAGTTCTCAGCGGGGCGGAGCTGAGCGGAAAGAACTTTGGTAAAGTTAACAAACTGAGCGAGAAAACGTTTGCATTGGTCTATGACAGGAAAGCAGGAGCAGGTCGGTCCCTGGATC